ATAGGAGATAAATGTCAAGAGTTTTTTGCATGGGCAGTTTCTTATTTTTTTATTTGTATTATTATTTATTTTTTGTTAGAAAATAAGCATAGCTAATTATCTATATTATTTTATTCATCTCTTTATAGTTCTAATTTTTATATTAAAAAAATTGTATAAGGATATCATAATCTAAATTTTATTATAATAAATTAAAATTTTAAGAAATTATTTTAAGATAAATATGATATAAATAGAAAGAGTTTTTTATAATTATCATAAAAAATTGACTATGAGATTGAATAAAAAATTAGTAGATGAATGATATTTTAATTATTTATATTGAAAAAGAATATTTTATGTATTGATAATTAAGTATTTGATTTTTTTGGAATATGAAGAAAAGGTGTTATAAACTATATGTTTTTAATCATCTTATATTTTATTATTTTTAACTAATAAATTAAAAAAGAACAATTAACTACAGTTATCGATCTGAAGCACGAATGAAAAAAAAAATTGAAGGAATGTTTACAAAATTTAATTTGTACCCCCATTATAAAAAAATTAGTTTCATCATTCACTATAATTATAGAAAAAAACGGACCATCGGTATGCAGTATTTTCGATGAATTTCAGACGAAAAATTATTTTCAGTGCCTGAAATTTTAATTCTAGGTAATTTCCAGAAAAAATATCTTTTTAATTAGATTTTTTTCCGCACCCGCTGTGACTCGCCTGTGTGTTTGAGAAAATATTTTGTGCAGAGAATGCGATAAGTCAGCAGTACTGAGCGGTACCGAGCCGCGATACCGAGCAAGGGATGGCATGACGCATTTTGATTGGTCTCTGGACGACATTCGACGTCCGTTCAATATAATTAATCGTGTAACTCCAGAACACGCCACCCCTGCCCACTCACCCTCGCTACTTTGACCTGCACTACAACACAACTTGACTCGTCAAGTCACCTGCAGTCTACAGGCCCATCTTGCCCCCACCCAGTTATATGCAGTCTGCTATCCCGACCGACAAAACAGCAGAGCCCAACATTGGGTACTCATACCCACACCCACCCATGTACCCACCTATACCCATTGGGTGTTGGTGGGTATGGGTACGCGTACGCTCATGGCCTTCTGGGTGGGTATGAATGGGTACTCAACATCGAGGGATAAATCAATTTATATTGCTAATCACCGTATATGTTATATTACTGCAATCCTCACTACGTGGTGTGCAACACTTAACCACGTTGTAACTACGATAAATTATGATATGCGGCTCGAAAGTTTCTAATCAGAGGAAAGGGAAACAAGCCTTAAGGCCATTAGTAAGTGGAAGACTGAGTTCAAAAAAATATGGAAAGTGGGTGGGTAGTGGGTACGACATCTCGAAAGTCTCTATGGGTGGGCATGGGTGGGCGAATCCCGTTAGATTAAAGCATGGGGTACCCATTACCAGGACCCTATGTAGGGCTTTGCAAAACAGTATGCTACTCGTCGCGCTCGCATCCTTGTCTATTAATTAGTTTATTTAAATTACTTAATTCGTTCATTTAAATTAGTTTATTTAACTGATTTAATTAGTTAATTTAAATTATTCAACTTAAATAAGTTAATTAGTTCATTTAATAAATTAGTTAATTTTTCATATGAAGTCCGTCAGAAATCCGCTTGAAATCTGTCAAAAATCCTTCGAAGAATCCGCTTGAAATTCCAACGTAAAATTTCCGTTAGAAATTCCGTTGGTAATTTGCATTTTTTGTGAAGTGATTAATTTTTTGAGAAAGTATTGTTATCATTAAAAAAACAAAAAAAAAGAGAATGAAGAAATATATAAGTTTTAAAAGATTTGAGTCTCAATAAATCTAGCATCTAAAATTTATTTTCTAAGAGAGATTTTATATCATTAAAAAAAAATGAAGAAATTTATAACTTTTAAATGGTTTGAATTCAATAAATCTAGCATCTAAGATTTATTATCTAAGAGAAATTTTATAGCATGATCACTTTTTGAATGGTAGTCAGCTCGTATTAACTGATCTGGTGGTTCGGAACTTTAGCTAAAAATTAAGAGGTCTTGGATTCGAATTTTGATTATATGATATGCGTATAAATTGGCCTTAATTGGCCTAAACGTCCTAAAAAGAAAAAAACTTTCTGAAAAATTGCTATATATGAACTTCTTTTAAGAGTCATGAAGTAAGCTTTTGTTTTAAGATCCCAAAAATTTATAATTTTACAGAATTTTAATACTAGAAAGTTCTTATAGAAAGCAGCAAGAACGCTATCCCAAATGAAGACTTAGAGTTTGTTTGTACTGAAACTCTTTATAAAGATAGGTGTAAAGTTGTTATAAAGAAAATAACTTTTTTAAAGTTCTTGTAGAAAGTACATTTTTAGACCCAAAATTTATTAAAAAGAGCAAAAAAATAGTTGTTAAAAAGAAAATATGATTGCGATATGAAATACAAAACAATAAGAAAGTTGTTTCAAAATAACTCCTCAGTTGGGACAGCTTTCCTGTTGCTTTCTAACACAGCTTTCTAGTAAAAAATTTTTGAATTAGAAATCTTTATATTAAAAAATTGTCTTTTGTTTGGGACGACTTTCTTACTGCTTCTTAAAGCAACTTTCTAGTACAGAAAATTAACGTGTGTACGAAAGAGTTACTTTAAAAATAATAAGAAAGTCGTCCCGAATGAAGTCTAATACTTCGTTTGGGACGGCTTTCTTATTGTTTCTTAAAGCAGTTTTTTAGTATAAAAATTAAAAAATTTGTACTAAAAGGCTTAGTTTAAGACGGCTTTCTTACTGCTTCTTGAAGCAGCTTTTTAGTACAAAAAAAATAATAATTTTTGTATTAAAAACCTGCTTCAATAAGCAATAAAAAACCGTCCCAAACGAAGTCTTAGTCACTCACTTCCTCTTATATTCTACAGCCAATATTGAAATTGGCACACGATGCTTCTCAGCCAATATCCCACTCCAAGGGCTTGAGGCCCTTCCATTGCCTCTTTGGGTGAATCTATGTTCTTCGACCTATTTGGCCAAATTATTTGGATCTTTTTATTATTATTATTTGGAAGATTGTCCAAAGAATGCAAGTAGTGAATATGGCTAATTATGGCGTAGAAGGCAATGTTGTGAAGTGAACACATGACTCTACAAGGGGTCAGACCAAATATCTTTCCAAGTGTTTCACATCAAGAACCAAGTAGATCTAGGATGAAATCTGCTGTCCACACAAGAAAACAGCCAAAAAACAGTGGATTCGGAGAGAAAACGAAGGAGAAAACGTAAGAGAAACGAAGCAAACACTTTTATTTAATGAGAAATGAAAAGCACTTGCAAGATACAACTTTCCTTCAATTCGAGAGGAAGGAAAAACTCTCCAAATCTCTAGCCGTAGCCTAGAGCCCAAGAACACAAACCCTAGATCTCAAAAATGATTCAAATTCAAGATAACCCTCTCTTCCCCCTATTCCTCCTAATTAAACATGAAAGGAGGATTGCAATTTACCTAATTACCCTTCTCATTCAAATATTCCCTCCCAAAATTGAATTTACATCAAGTGGGCCCCCCTTGATGTTTCCGCCCCCTCCCTGGCTGCTTTCTTCCGCCGGCTGTAAGCCAAGACCGGTCCAGGGTGGACCGGTCCAGCCGGCCCAGGATGGGTCGGCGTAACAATATCCTTTTGAACTCTCGAGGAGTTTGAGTGGAAATAATGTCAGACCGTCGATAAATTATTTTGTGCGGATACCTGACATCGTCTGGAGGCTAATCAAAATACGTCACGTCACTTTTTGCTCGGCACCGGTACTAGATACCAGATGATGTGACGCATTTTGATAGGTCTCCGAACCGTTCGATATCCGCACAAAATAATTTCTCCATACTCACAAACCAAATATACCTCAGAACTCGCTCTTTGCAGCCTATAAAATATTTTATAATTGAAAGAAATAATGCATATTATCCTAGCCTACTCTCGCTTTTTGGGATTTTTAGATTAGATAGAGATCCTATTTACCTGCATATTCTTTTTAGATTAAATTTATAATCATGTCTTAAATTATCAGATAATTGACTCTTAATTGATTAATTTTAATGGGCGCTTTAAATAATATTGTTCATAATTATAAATAAATCGGGCGTCAACCCATTTAAGATTATTTATTTATCAATTGAGTATTTATAAAATATTTAAATTTATTCAATTAATTAATCAAATAGAGGCATGTGTTATTTGTTGGAAACATTGATTCAGCTGCAGCCCTGAACACGCCCGACTCTTGATGCTCTTTGGAAACATTGTTCATATTGTCACTTTGCAGAAACTCTGTACATTTGTGTTAATCGTATTTCTTTGGAATTCTCAGCTTTCAAAATGCTTGACGGGCATCTAATAAGCATATAGAATTCACCGAGGCTTAGTGTGGTTGGTGGGCGAGCACGGTTGGAAACCCCCCATATCGGGTTCGAATCCCCTCTGCTATGGCTTCGCCAGTTCGCCTCTTCAATGGGACAAAACAAGTGTTGGCCCGATGTCAATGGGTGACCTCGCTAGATTCCGGCGAGGGATTAGTTACGCCGCCAAACGCTCTCTTTGAAGTGCCAGTGGGTAGATACCCCATTCCAAAAAAAAGAGGAGCATATCACAACTTTTGTAATTAGAAATTTTCATCAATTATAAAAATCTCTACCAGTGGACCATACTTTAAAGTTAGACTCTGATTCATGCTCTTTGAAAATTATTACGTCCGGATTCGTCTGCGCCACGTCACCTAGACCCCGGTGCATCCGGATGAGGTCCAGGTGATGTGGTGCATCCGGATTCACCTCCGGACGGTTAGGACGCTCTTTCCTTTTCCCTTCCCCTTCTTCCCCTTCCTAGCAATCTGCAAACCAACCATTTTCCGAAATATTTGGGCTCCATTAGAAAATAAAACTAGTCAACTGACCAAAATACCAAAGCCCAACCCCACTAAGTAAACCTAAATATTTCCTAATTCTCAAGTCGCAGTTGTCTTCTCTTCTCTCTCTCTCTCTCTCTCTCTCTCTCTCTCAGCTTCGACTCTCCAGTTTCGATTTACCAAATTCTTCTATACAATCATCTTCCTTTCTCCATCAAAATTCGTCTAAAATTACCAGTTCTTCTCCGCCAATACATCGGATGTTCTATTCATTTTTAATCCCCAAAGAACAAAGCAATAACAAGGCAAGAGAATTGTCCTCTGTTACACACTCCGATCCTTCGTCCACAAACTAGCTATTTCCTTACCCCGATTTCTACTCTTTAAATAGCCAAACACTAACCATTCTACGATTTCTTCCAATACCCAATTCTCAAAATATCTTCCTTTTTTTTGCCAAAAAGATGAGACTGTTCTGAAAGAAAAAGTTTAGAGAGCCAAAAACAGGCGAAGATGGATTTTCTAAAGGGAAGAATATCCCTTCCCCCTTTACCAGTCGGAAAAAGATGGGTTCTTCCCATCTTTGTGAGCTCCCTCGTCTTCGCCTTTCTGCTCCTCACCTCTCTCAACATGGGCATGCTAGCCTCTCTCTCCACTCTCAACGCCGCCCTCTTCTCTCCAGACATCGACACATCCACTCCTTCGCCGGCACCGTCACCGCCTCTTCAACCGCCTCCACCACCTGCCGTCATCATCCCCCGCCTCGCCTACCTCATTTCCGGCTCAAAAGGGGATCTTGACTGCCTATGGAGAACTCTCTACGCCCTCTACCATCCTCGCAACATCTACGTCCTACACCTCGACCTCAAATCGCCGGTGGCCGAGCGGAAGAACCTCGCCGCTCGCGTCGCGAACCAGTCTCTATTCTCCATGGTCGGAAACGTGCACGTCATCAGCAAAGCGAACATGGTGACTTACAGAGGCGCAACAATGGTGGCCAATACTCTTCACGCTTGCGCAATTCTTCTCAAGAAAAGCAAAGACTGGGATTGGTTCATCAATCTCAGTGCTTCGGATTACCCTCTTGTAACGCAGGATGGTAAGTTTTGTTCTTCGTGCTCTTCTCAAAGATTAAAGTTTTAATCTTTTTGAACCGATCAGTGAGCTTTCTCTTCTTATTTTCAGATCTGCTGTTCACTTTCTCGAAATTACCGAAAAATCTCAACTTTTTGGAGCATACGAGTGTATTGGGATGGAAGGAGTAAGTTAACTGATAAAGATTGAATTTTTTGGGAAAATTGGGGTAAGAAGAATTGTTTGTGATTTGGTTTCAGGGAGCAGAGGGCGAAGCCATTGATCATTGATCCTGGGCTTTACAAGAAGAGCAAGTCTGATGTTTTCTGGGTTTCGCCGAAAAGAGAATTGCCTAACGCGTTTAAGCTGTTCACAGGTAATTCATTTACTTAATTTAGATTAATTAATTATCTTTTTTTTTTTGTATTTATATTTGTTGTAGATTAAAATTGTGTTTTAGAAAAATGATGATTTTATTTTTATTAGATTAAGTGAAAACAATAAAAACATTGTCTCACCATACCTATAGAAATAAATATTAAAAAATCAATAAAAATTAAGTTCATTGGCGTAGAAGAGTTAAGTTATATCGAGCACTTGTTAAATCGACCGACTATACTTATTATAAATAATATGTTTACAATAATTTTTGAAAGCGTATAATGACATCAAATATTTGACCTTAGGATTAGTGCTCGTTTATATCATCATCATTTGAATATTTGTTCAAATTTAATATTATGGGCATTTTACTAGTTTTCATTGTCACATAAGTAGTGAAATCATTACATTCATTGCATTTGCTCTAGCACTTTTGCTTGCACTATTCGTTGTTGTTGTTCCAACTTTGAGGGTCCCACTAGCCTCTTTAATTTCAGGTTAAGAAGCAACATACTCATAAAGCTCATATAACAAGCTTAGTTCAAGTCACATATTTCTCATATTTCTGTCTCAAATATAATTCATAAGAAATGCAAAGTCAATCATGATAAAGATCCATTACAACATCATATTATGATATGAGAAGATTGTATTCACCAATATATTCATTAAAATTTGAGTCGGTAGAGTATATATTTTACGTCTCAATATTATACAAAAGTTCAACATGCACAGATAAAAATAGTAAGATCAAACATTTTCTACATGGAAAATCCGAAAAGGAAAAAAATCATGAAGTCTGGTGTAGTTGAAAAATCCACTATGTAGTAAGTGATATAAGAATCCTTATTTCTTCACCATTGAAGAAGAGAGGGGGTTTAAACAAACGTCTGATTTTCTCTGAAAGATATTATAGAAATAAGTGTCTACGTGAGTTTATTTTCCCAAACTTCAACAACATGACTTTATTTTCCTAATGAGTTTTATAGAAAGCAGATGATTATAATATGATAGATATATCCAACAATATGGTTAAATCTTATTAGAAATCTAGAGATGGTGGTGATTTCTAATGCTGGTCTTCACTGATGATGGTTGTTGTCTGGGAAAATAATTGGTTGTGGTTGTCGTGGTCATGACCGAAAAATGCAAGAGAGCTCTCCCTTTTTTTCTCCCCTCCCCCCTCCATGTGAAGAATAATGGCCTATTTATAATTTTTTGGGAGTAGTATTCATCACGCGTAAATATGAAGAAAATCTAGAACAAATTCATAGTGTCTCATCAAATGATCCATATTCATTTGAACTCAGATTGAATCAATTTTGATGTCTTTGGGCTCTTTTTTTAAGACGTTCAATTTGACTATAAGTTTGCTAAGATTGAAGTTCATATGATCTCAAATTTAGTTTTGAAAGTTTCTAATTCAATTATACCTCAAAATTCATGTCTGATCAAGTTGATTTTTGTTAACGTGTCAACTATTAAAAAAAAATATGTCTTAATTGCAATGCTACAATCAATATAAATATAATAAGTAGAGTATTAAAGAATGGAACAATTCATTGCATATTTTCATAATATTATATATTATATCTTAGTATTTAAATCATATTAAAATATACATTAAAAATATATATCTTAGTTTAAATAAACTAATATTAATAATATTTTTAATATAACTTAAACATTCAAAACCTAAATAAATAATTTTAAATATTAGATATACAAATACATAAAAAAAAATTATATAAATCTCACTTTCTCCGAGTTATGACAAACGTTCCTCTTAACCTCAGCCATGACATCTAAACGATATTCAAAATAAATCGCATTTGTAAAAATTACAAAAATATAAATTATAGTTTTATATATTTATATTTCTAATATTTAAATTTTTATATTTAATTATGTAACACTTAATTTTTTTTAATAAATCACATATTTTATATAATTTATTCACTAACATGACAAATAAATATAAAATTTATGTATTACATACATACATCAAATTTTTTTTCTAAAATATATGTAAATCTCTCAAAATAAAATTAAAATAGAAAATATTACAAGTGCACATTAAGGGTATGTCGGGGATTAGGGGTGCAAAGGAGTCGAGTCGAGCTCGAGTTATTGTATGTTCGAGCCAAGCTCAACTATCAAATATCAAACTCGACTGTCAAATACCGAGCTCGACTATCAAATACTGAGCTCGAGCTCGGCAAGGGAAAATGAGCTCGTCAAGCCACACTTCAAGCTTGTTAACTAGCCCCGCGTCAGCGCCTGCGTCGTACTCGTCTTCCCGTCGGCACAAGCCCCACGTCCACGTCTTCCTATCGACACAAGCCTCGCTTTCGAAGTCCGAAGGCGCCGAGATTTTCATTTTCCCTCATGAGTCCAGCAGAGGGGTTTTCGAACTCGGTCTCGTTAAGCCATCGAGCTCAATAAACTCGACTCGTCAAGCCCGAGCCGGCTTGACTCGGTTGCACCCCTATTGGGGACGGTTGTAGTGCTTTATAAAGAGTTAGTTTGGAATAATTTTCTAACTGCTTTGCTTTTTTAAACTATAACCACTGTTATGTTTGGCTATAATTTTCTCACCACTTCTAAAAAATTTCAGTGCTGAAAAGTTGTTTTTTTTAACAATTTAAAAAAATATATATTTTTCACATAGTAATTTTACAATGAACTTTACAACAAGCTTCAGCCATCTCAAACAGGCTCAAAGTTGATTGTGAAATTATTGTTGGTAAAATAATTTAGTTTTAAAAAAAATATTTTTCATCAAAAAAATTTATAAAAAAACAATAAGAAAGCAGTAACCTAACCAAATTTGATTGTTATTTGAAAAACAAAGCAAGAAAAAAATTATCGCAAAGAGACTCTTAAGTCAGACAAAACTACTATACTCCATAGATTAAGGCCAGTTTTCCGACTTTCCACAGCAGATTTGTTTACTTATATAAATTTGGTAGAATTTGACCTACCAAATTTATTTTAAAATCCGAGTGTTTTGAACTTACAATCTCTTGCGTACATTTGGCTTGGCTTGGAATAAGGCATGAAAAGTGCAGAAATATATTAACATGAAGGAAAACCATATTGAATTCGAGATCAGACAGAAAGAACTCGAATGAATCATCAAAATCAAATCTTTAACGGCTAACAAGGAAGCTTCTGTACAGGATCTGCTTGGATGGTTCTAACTCGGGAATTTATCGAGTTCTGCATATGGGGCTGGGACAATTTACCAAGAACTCTCCTCATGTACTACACCAATTTCCTCTCCTCGCCTGAAGGCTACTTCCAGACAGTAATCTGCAACTCTCAAGAATTCAATTCTACTGCCGTCAACCATGATCTCCACTACATAACGTGGGACAATCCACCGAAGCAACACCCGCACATTCTCACCCTCAACGACACTGCCAAAATGATCAAAAGCAACTTTCCCTTTGCCAGAAAGTTCAAGAAGAATGATCCAGTGCTCGACAAGATCGACGCCGAGCTTCTTCGCCGGCCAAAGAATGCGGTGGTGCCTGGCGGATGGTGTGCAGGTACACCGAAGTGCTCGAATATCAGCGACGAGGGGAGGCTTGACCCTGGGCCTGGATCACAAAGACTAGCACAGCTGATGGATAAGATAGTACTCTTTGATTCATTTAAGTTGGATCAATGTAAATAGCTGCAATCCTATAAAAAGAGAATGATCAAAATAATCTTTTGACTCTTTGCGAATGATCAAATTGATCTCCGGCTTTTAAATAATATTTTTTTAATATTTTTACTTTCAAATGGAGACCTAAATAATGTGTTATAGTAATCATTGCATAGATATTACTTATTAAAACAAATGCACTTATTCATCAACAATATAGTGTTAGTGTATGCAGAAAGCATGTTTATATCCTCCATGAGCATAGAAGGCTTTTGCAAGAACCAGTACTTTATAAGAGACGAAACCAGGGCAAACCTCACTAATCTCACATATGCTACCATTTCTAATGAATGTATCAGCCATCAATGTACATAACTCATAAGTATAACATAAAAATTATGTATTTCCAAGCTTCCACCTGTAAACAGCAAGTATGTGCAAGCTCACAATTTTTTTCATCTGAATTTGTGGCTTGTCTGGATAAGAAATAAAATGAAGCAAAAAAGGAGAACAAATTCAACAAACAAGTCAATATATATATATATATATATATATTGAAGATTACAAGAGTTTGGGAGCAAAAAGGCCTGAACCATGAGCATGGGGATGGGGTTTGAGCTTCTGAATCCAATGAAGCATCCATTTCTTGTGGTCATGGGTAGTAAAGTTCTGGACCACATTGAGTGTGCCTCCTTGAGAAAGAGTAGATTCAAACTGTTCCAAGATCTTCACAATCTGCCAAAATTCAGGCCTCTTCTCTGGTATTGATGCCCAGCATTGCTCTATCATGGCTCTTAAGGCTGCCGGGCATTCCGGTGGAAAGGCAGGCCTCATATTCTGAAATACAAAGATCTCTTTATCAGAAATAAAGCAAAGGTCTCATGACTTCATTTGGGACGGCTTCGTTACTGTTTTCAAGCAGTTTGTTTAGTAAAAAATTAAGATTTTTGTACTAAAAAGTTGTTTTAAGAAACAGTAAGAGAGTCGACACAAATGAAACCTTAGTGTTACATTTTCATAATGAGATTTTTTTTACTTCTAGAAATGTTAGTTTTGGATCAAAGGGAGATAGAGATGCTTTTGATAGAGATGCATTTAACACGCATACTGAGGAAATATTCAATTAATATTGCAGAAATATGTTGATGAAGTTTTTAGATTTTTCTTATTTCTATTGAGAGCCAAATTACATAAGCTCAGCTTCAAGCTAGAGTACATATAGCATGAGATTAATAAAAAAAAAAAAAACATATAACATGAGGTAACTGATACTAATAAGGAAGTAAATAATGCTTCATAAGGAATTCTACATTTGCAATTGATGCCTGATCAGCAGAACCAAAGTCTGAATTAATTAACTTAGGCTTCAAACGAAACGGCTTTTTTGTTGCTTCTTGAAGCAGCTTTTTAGTACAAAAATTAAAATTTTTATACTAGAAAGCTACTTTAAGCAGCATTAAAAAAGCCATCCCAGCACACTGAAGGCAAACAGATATAAGAAAACAGAAAGTGCAAGATAATACCTTATCAACCACTGCAAAAGCTGCTTGTACCGGGGTCATATCCTCATATGGAATTCTGCCAGTAACCATCTCCCACAGAACTAACCCAAAGCTGTAGACATCAACTTTCCTTCCATAATGCTTATGTTTAATCATTTCAGGTGCCATCCACCGATAGGTTCCAGGATCCTCAGCTAATGGATCACAATATGCCTCTTCACAAGCAATTCCAAAATCAGCAATCTTAACACACAAGTCTTGATCAAAGAGAATATTTTCTGGTTTCAGATCACGGTGAATAACCCCTTGAGAATGAATGTACTCCATTCCACGAGCGATGTCAAGTGCAATGGAGATAAGTTTCTGAAGAGGAAGGGATTCATGTTCTAATTTGTGAAGAAATGCCCTCAAGGATCCACCGGAAAGATATTCAGTAATTATGCAAAAGACAGGAGGATTTCTACCGGCTGCTGCTAACTGCATCAAACCAAAAAAAAAAAAATGAAAATGCTATCAATAAGAAGGTTAAATTTCAATATTAATTCATAGAAGGATATTCCACTTACTAACATGAACGCTTAGTAGTGATAGAAGTTCATTAATATGTGATTATTTATGTTTACATTACAATGATTTAGTTAAGAATTGAGAATTCAAATTCATCAATGTCACCTTAAATTTCTAGCATTCAAAAGATACACGCATGAGCCAACAGAAACATGCATGCCACAACCTTTGCCAGTTAACGCAACTGAAATGTACATGCATGTGGATTGGGGTTGTTAAAATAGCTCAATATTCATGAAAAACTCAAGTTTAACTTGATAATTGTTCATATTCGACTTATTTGTAAAGTAAACGAGTAGAGCTTGAACAAGAATTCTCTTCTCATTTATTAGACAGGTCGAACCCGTACAAGAGCATGCCCAATCATGTTCGGCTCAGCAAGAGCTTATATACAAAAATGAAAAGAAAAAAAAAAGTTTATTTCCTTATTTTAAGATTTAAGAAATTCATAAATCATAATACATATGCGAAAATCTAACCCATCCATCATGAATAAAAATCTTAGATTCATGAGGGCCAACTAGCATAGTAAGGATCTTAGAAATTCTTGCCAAAGTCCTATAATCAAATCCCCTCAAAATCATATTTGTGTTTTGACAATCAAACTTTCTTAAGAAAATTAAATCATTAATTCTCCCAATGCAAGTTGAAACAATTAGAACAAAAAAAAAAAAAGATAACATAACTATACCATTAGTTTTGTGATGCAAAAGAGGATTGACACCTTGATCTAAGTTCTAGGACCATGTGCTAAAAATTAGAATCATAGAAAAATGCTTACTTTCCATCTAGAAATAGAAAACTCCATTGTTTTTTGCATGCATTATATATATATATATATCTATATATATATATATATATATATAGAGAGAGAGAGAGAGGGAGATGCAAGCGTTTACATGTACCGTAAGATTTAATTTTGATACAATTTCAAAATGCCACATGCAGTAACTTTGTTCTTCCATACAAAGCATTGGAAAAATGAATAAGGGAAATCTTCTTGCATTCATAAAGAAACAAATGTGGAAATAATGCCATCAGCTATAAAAAATTCATCCCTAAGTGTTGTTTGGTTATAAATAGCAATGTTATGAAGATAACAATACTATTCAGATAACAAAATTACCTATTAAATACAGTGTGTTTGGTACAATGTTTTCTAGGAAGATCAACATTAGAATATTTATCTTACTTAAATAATGCAATTTTATCTTACTTTTTTTAGTAATTTCTTAATTTTAGCAGTTAGACTTTTGAGGAATCGAATCCTATACCTCCACTTTGAAGATAACGAACAATACCATGATTTGTAAGATGCTGATTTTAACTATAAAATAGATTAACATTTAGATGTCATGCTAATTAGTTGAGGTTGACTTTATGAATCCTTATTTTTCATTATTTTTTTGTCGAGTGTTGTGCGAGGAGTTAAGGGTGGAAAAGCTGTTGGACCTGATGATATCCCAATAGAGGTGTGGAAATGCTTAGGAGATGAAGGAATTTGTTGTGCGAGGAGTTAAACATATTATTCACAAATCCATATAACCTTAGGTCTACCTTTATGCTTCCTAACCTTTATCCTTCATTGTATATATTCAAACCATATAAATCAAATTTAAATAACTTCAATGAATAGAACATGATGAAAAAAACTAGAATAATGATAATATTTATTCAAGAAAACAATATAACAATTCTTTGCATAGAATAAAGACTAGTCAAATGCACCACAACAAAGTAAATGAACAATATCATAGGAAAGGGACAAAGGAAAAGTCAATGTGTATCTTAGATATGTTGCGGGTTTATTAAGGACATGTCCGGCGCATATCTAATATGAACTCAACTGTTTTTATACCTATTTTCAAATAAAATCTAGAAATACCTCACCATGCCTCACACACCTTAGGTGTTTCTAAGGATATGGAGTTCCTAGAATTGTTCTTGACTCATATCTATCTTGAATAAGAAATGAAAAAGGGTAGTTGAATACCTTTATCACATTGCGGTGATACAAATGAGCTAGAAAATCAACCTCCCTACTAAATTGCTTCTCCAGTCGAGAAGCCATAGTTCCATCCTCATCATCACCAGGCAACCGAATGATTTTGACAGCAACAGGTTTGTCTTTATAGATGCCATGGTACAATCTACTATGAGCTCCACAGGCAAATCTGAAACCAAGATACAGCTGAGAAAGATCAACAGCCCATTCCTCTACAGGATCCACAGCAACAACCTTCCCTGTTCCATGGTCAAAATATTTCGTCCAATTTGTGTCCTTTCTACCCTTGATCTTATCTGAGTTTCTCATCCCAAAGAAGTGCTGAACAGGACTTGCCTGAGATGGAGATAGGGGAGAAAACATGTCATTCTCATGAGCTCCTCTTGAGAACACTCTGTCAAAAGCTCCCTTATCTGATTCTTTCCTGCTAGGGGGTGGGGTTGAAAACCTCTTCTTCTCAGCCCTGGCTTCCCTGAAGGAATCAGAGAGGGCTGTGCTTGGGAGAGGGGAAACAGATCTTTGTTTGGACTTCGAGCCAACTTCACTCCCATCAACCAAACTACCAGATCTACTATAGTTTCGATCCAATTGAACTCCAACAGAAGGACCAAAAGCCATTCTGAAACCTAAATTCATTGTATGCGACCTAAGAAAATACTCAGGATGAACCACCATAGATGGAGAGCCCACGCAAGACCTCTTAGCAGTTTTGCTGCTACCAACATCAGATTGAAAAGAGAATGATGTAGATGGCAAGCTACTATGAGAGCGCAAAGTATGTTCCTTATGATTCTTTTCCACCCTGCGTTCAACGGGCAACGAGGTTGAAGCCAAAAGCTTTGAGGAATCTGAATATGGCTTCTTTGTCGTCGGTCCTACCCGAAGATCAAATTCGGAGGAGAATGGAATAGATGGCAACCAAGAAGAACCCAAACGGTGAAACACAGTGTTGGAGAAATTAGTTCTTCTTACCCAAGATTTACATTCTTCCTCCATTTCCCCAGTCCAATAAACAGAAACCATCCAGAAAAAATCAATCAAACTCCAGCAACAATCGCATCAATTGAACAAACCCAAGCCAAGAAGCAGGGTTCAAATCCTGAAATCCGCCTACTCTTATGAATAGAACAATCAAGGAGAAGACTTTCAACTCCTGGCTCCATCTGCATGCAAGGTTCCTTATTTCAGCAAAAACTACTCGACGCAATTAATTAAAAACAGAAAAAAGAAACAAATCCAAGCCAACATAGCAGTTACAGAATCTTAAAATAACCCTAGAACAAGAGAGGCAACACGCCATTTAAGCACACAGAGCTGGTAAAAAAAGCAATCCCAAAAAGTTCTTTTGAACGAATAAAAAGAAACCGATCAAATATGACAACTCCATTTACCCCCCGAGCAGGAAAAATAACCTCATTTTTCATATTTTTCATAAGAGAAATGAAGAAAAGTCGGAACTTTTTTGTCCTCCATCTCTTTGCTTTCAATTCCCAATAGAATTCTCCCTCAGTAATAACTGTAACATAGTAACATACATAGAAAATAAGCGAGAGCAATCGTGTCAACATACCTATAGTAAAGCAAGCCACTCAAGAAAAATTGTTCCCTCTTCCTGCCGAGGAAGCAGAAGATGGTGATAGAATCTCTCTCTCTCTCTCTCTCTCTCCTTCTCCTTCTATGCTCCCCGCCGTTCTATAAGAATTAAGAACATGTTTTTTTTTTTTTTCTCCTCGATAGAAATAAAGATATTAATTTTTCACCAACCACCGCTCCCACGGTACGTTCATTATAGACCACGTGTCACGAGGTAATCGATAAGCAACGCCACGTGTCTGGTTTCTTTCGGTGGATTAAAGTATCGCGTGACAAGAATCTTAATCAAAAAATAATTAATCATAAGTATTTTTTAATTCACTCAATCCATGATAACAGAGGTTTACGTTTACACGTTATAAACATTAACCGATAATATATATTATTCTCAAATACATATTTGCTGATGAAAGCTAATTTATAGCTATTCTTAAATAAGTTTTTTTTATTATTATTTCTAAATGGTAGCTTTTAATTTTTATTTTAAAATTTTTCTTTGAATAATAAAAAAATTACCAACTGGTGCCGAACTTCCGCCGGACAAAACATTGACGGACCTGTCTGTCCTCTGTTTGTCACTAGATTTCAACCAGACGATTGATTATTGTAATCTGATCGGCCTTAAGGATGATTCAATCAACTCTAATCTACTCTAGCACTAATGGAATTGTTTCATCTGGACTTGACCCCGTGATTTTTTTCTCTTTTCAGGATTTTTCATGTAAAAAATCTTGTGTTTTCTGTTTGTGTGCTGGATATTTGTACAGTGCTGAGACGTAAAATTCTGACTCTAATGCCACGTCTATTTAGCCTGCAACAATACCAAACAAAAATTGAGATTTATTATTTTATTATTCTATGATTTTCTTACAATCAGAAATATAACTACAGAAAAAAAAATATATCTTATCGATTATAAGCCAATTGAGGTTTATGTGGAGAATAAACTAACTATTTAATGGTTTAGTGCTTGCTTCAATCAGATTTTACATCATTAAGAAGTGATTAATAAGAAATTAGGAAAAATATGTGATGTCCTTTTCAAGAAAGAAAAATGGAAAATGGTTGTTATGTAATAACTTACCGACCTAATCCTCATGACCGGAGACATTTTGACTGACTTTCATAATACTATTTGAAGATGAAGTTTATTAAAAGCCTTTCATGTGAGAAATGGTTTACTTGTATGAGAAATTTCTTTTTTAGGGGTTGTATGGTTAGAGAGTTTTGAGCAATGTATTTAAAATATAAAAATTTGATATGTCACAAATAATCATCTTGATCAGGCGTGAATCTTGATAGATATTTGATTTGGAAACTTTAGAAATTTCTTTTTTTAGGGGTTGTTTGGTTAAAGAGTTTTGAGCAGTCACTACAAAAATGTTAATGTTTTCGCATCAATTTATAGTAGCGGTTTTAAAACCGCTCGTATAAATAAATATAGACAGCAGTTTTAACCGCTGCTAAATTCACTTTCAAAAAAATCAAAGTTATTCAAATATTTTATAGCAGTGGTTTGCATCGAATAAATAGACCGCTAAATCTACTTCTCTTTTGATGCCCTAGCTGACTCATACAATATAGCCCATGCCAAATCAACCAGCCTCACTGCCGAAGCCACCATCTTGATGCAAAATCATACCATTTTGATACTGAATCTTGCTGTCTTGATGCCGACAGTGAGGGGGAGGAAAGCGAGATGGAGAGCTGATGCCGTTGGAGGAGGTACTTAAGTAAATTTCTGCACTTCTCGATGGCTCTATTAGCAATACCGATGATTAACTTATATTGAGATCGCTGAGTATGAGATGACAATTATTAGTTATCTGTGCTTCTCCATGTCTTCCGAGAGAGATCAGATTGGGGCAATTTTTTATTTTCAGGTATCTCTACGAGTCTTGCTTTTTCGTCAGCTACAAGAGGAGTTGTGATGTTTCGACAGCGAGAGACCCTTGATGTTTCAAGGGGAATAGAAATTGAAATGCTACAAAAATTCCAAGTCTTCCACCTCATAATTCCTATCTTCAAACCGCTGCTATAACCTTTGCAGTGTATAACCTTTGCAACGAACGCAGATACGACAGTTTTGTAGCTGTTTATAAACCGCTGCAAATAAATTAGCATGTGTTAAAACCGCTGCAATATGTCCTAAAAAGTGTTGTGTAAGCCTGAATTTTTAGTAGTGAGTGTATTTAAAATATAAAAATTTGATATGTCACAAATAATCATCTTGATCAAGCGTGAATCTTGATAGATATTTGATTTGGAAACTTTCAAAATTAAATTTGGGGTTCATGTAAACTCCAAATTCAAAAAACTCAGTCAAATTGAACATCTGGACTAGACAAACACAACTACATCAAAATTGGTCTAATCTTGAGACCATATATGCCAAAATCATTAGTTTGAAGCATGTTTAGAAGCTTCATCAATATTAATTGGGTGATCAAATGATATTCAAATAAAGCAGGCTTATAGTCGAATCAAGTGGCTTGACGAGATGAATCCAATGAGTCCAAGATCACTCGATTCTAAAAAAACATTATGGCATTTAAATGTAGAAAGAACACTTCATGATCAAGGCAATCAATATGGGCCACCTGATGATGCACTCCAAATTTATCCTTAATTTTATTCATATTTAAGGGGCATGTCACTCTCAAAATTCATAAATAGACCCTCACTCTCCATATGAAGGGATCCTTTAAAGGATAGAACCTTGGGCTAGAAATTCAAGAGACCATTAAAGCATAAATCCCATAGCACTACTGTCAGGGTCCCACATCACCGTTGAACTTTCACAAACGAATCATTATCGAGCAACCACCTTGCCACTATTTCTATAAGTAACATGACCATCGCCGCAGGATTGCCTCCTGATCATGGTCCTTTCAACCTTAGTCACCCGCCGACTATGGTCCTCAGATCAAAGTCAACCATCAACCATAATCCCTTCAAACATTGTGGCCTAAGAATGGTACCTTCGATCACAATCGCCCGACTACAATCCTTCCAATTATCATCACCCGACTACGATCTTTCAACCTCAGTCGCCCGACTATTGTCCTTCAAAAGTTCGTTACCAGTCGATCACAGTCCTTCCGACAACCATCACTCAAATATGGTATATCAACTTAAGTCGATCGACTACGATCCTTCAAACCTCCATAGCCTATCAACTATAATCCCTTCTACCATTATCGCCCGACTACAATCCCTTTGACCACAGTAGCATGACTATGGTCCTTCTGACCTTCATCACCCGCCGATTACGATCTTCCAACATTAATCTCCCAAATATGGTCCTTACGACCTCCGCCGCCCACCAACTATAACTCTTCTGACCACTGTCATTCGACTATGATTTTCTTAACTTTAGCCACCCGAGTATGGTACTTACAACTTTCATTGCTCACCAACTATGGTCCTCTTTTCCTCTGTTATCCAACAATGGTTCATTCAACCTCTTTCGTCTGATACTGGTCCTTTGACCTCAATCGCACGACTACGATCCTCTCATTCATCGAACACAATCCCTCCAAACATTGTCTCCTAAGAAATCTACCTTCGACCACCATTGCCTAAGAACTCTACCTCTAACCATCATCACAGGACTGTGGTCCCTCCCACTACCATCCTCGGACTATAGTCCTTCTGACTGTCATCTACCAACTACGATCTTTCAACCTTTATTCCAACCAAGGTCCTTCTAACATTCATCGTCTATCGACTACGATCCTTATGACCACCATCACTATACTATGATTTTTTAACATTAGTCACTCAACTACAATCATTTTAACCTCCGTCACCCGCCTATTAAGGTTTTATTTGTCATCATCAATTGATTACAATTTTTTAACCTCAATCATCTAACTATAGTCCTTCTAACCTTTGTCACCTACTGAATATAATCATTCTAACCTTCGTCGCCTATCAACTTTGGTCCCTCTAGCTATAATCATTCGATTGCTGTCCCTCAAACCATAATCACCCGACTACAGTTCTTCGACCTCAGTCGCCCGAATACGACCCTTCTGACCTCCATCATCCTCTAACTATAGTCTTTTAACCTTAGTCACTCAATTACTATCCTTCAAACTTTCGTCGCTTGCCAACTACTGTCCTTCGACCATCATTGTCTAACTACGGTATTTCAACCTTAGTTTCTTGAGTATGATCCTTATGGCCTTTATCACCAGCATAATATCGTCCTTCTGACCTTCATTACTTGTTAAATATGGTCCCTCCGACTTCTGTGGCCTAGCAATGGTCCTTTTGCCCTCTAGCGCTTAACTATGATCCTTTAGATCTTTGTTTATGGCCGATTATAGTCAGTCTGATCTCTGTCGCCCAATCGTCATCTCCAAACTATTGTCTTTCCAACCATCGTCGCCCAACTACAGTCCTTTTGACCACCATCTCCCTGCTACTGTCCTTCTAAACACAGTCACCAATTACGATTTTTCTGACCTCAATTGTCCGTCGACTATGATCTTTTCGACCATCATCGCCCAACTATTGTCTTTCCAACATCCATTGCACACTGACTATGGTTTCTCTGACCACTGTCTCCAGACTACGATTTCCTCGACCATCATTGCATGACTACGGTCATTCCGACCACCGTCACCTAACTATGATACTTCTGACTACAGTCATTGACTTCTATCTTTTCGACCTTCATTACCCGCTAACTATTGTCCATCCAACTATCTTCACCCAATTATAATCTTTTTGACTTCCGTCGCACACCAACTATGGTCTCTCTGACTACTGTCTCCAAACTACAGTCTCCCCGATCATCATCACCCTACTACGATTCTTCCAACCAATGTCGTCCAACTACAATTCTTTCGACTTATATCGTTCGCCAACTATGATCCAACTGAATAAATAAACATGTCAGCACTGATTCTTATAATTAGCATCATGTAATGCACTCTAAATGATATATATTTGTTACATCAAGCCAAGACATTTCCCCAATTAAGGGCCTAATTTGTAATTAATTGAAAACACTAGTGGATTCATTCAAACTAGGCAAGGCCCCATGATTTTTCCCGCTTTTATGGATTTCCACGTAAAAGCTCTAGTGTCTCTTATAAATATAGCT